GGAGGGAAGGCAGGAGCGAACAAGCACTCATTGAGGTGCTCAAACTCGCCCCCCAAGGAAAACCTGGACCACTGTCAACAACACACGCCACTCAAGCGTGCGGAAATGACAGAACGTATGCCAAGCTTCCAAAGCAAAAACAGGACAGTCGCCAGCCAGGACGACTCTGGAACCTCGTAACGAATCTAGTAGGAAAACGAAGACCCAAACCTGAACGTAGACAGATCCATAATAGAGGCGTAATCCGGGTCGCCAAGGAGGTAAGCTGCAAAGGCCTCCTGCACCACAGGAGGTGGGATGCGGGAAGCCGAAAACCTCCGGAATGATGGGACCGAAGCACCCGAAGGGACACGGAACCGAACCCGGGGAGGGGCAGACACAAAATCCAATTCGTACGCAGAGGGGGGGGGGGGGGGAAGAGGAGAATACCCTACTTTTTGTAACAGTAACGGCCTCAAAACAAAAAGCCGGCGCATCTGTAGAAGCCAGAAGAAAGGGGGGCCCCACTGATCAGATCCAGATGCTTCGGCAGGGATGAATGACTCGAATACCTCCGTCGCCAGCCCGGAAGGGGCATCCCCTGAAACCGCCCGAGTCTCAACACCATCTAAACCCTGCCCTGACCCCAAAACCCTCAGACATTTCGGAGCTGGAAGCAGGGAAGGAGGGGGGGGGGGACCAGACCGAACCACAGCAGGGAAAGGATGAGGGGTGTGGACTGAACCAAGTTCAAAATGACCAACACCCCCAAGTCCGGGTCCCTATAACCAAAACGAGGCAGCCTCAGGGCTTCTGGGTCGGCAACCAACCTAGTGTGTTGCAACAACTTAAACCTAACGTGTAACGCTTGCGCCGCTTGTACCCGAATATCATCATCAGTAGACTGGGTAAACTGAGTCACCAGCAACAAAACTCGCAGGGCTCTGGGTCGAAAGTGTCATGACCCAGCAGGCAGCATGACGGAGGCAAAAACAATGAGTCACCCTGAGACAAGGGGACAGAGCAACCCTGAAACTCGCACAAAGTGAGGTGGGGGGGGGGGACTCATGGGTCACATCCATCGGACCTTTTGGTGTACATAAAGCACACCAAAGGTGGAGCACACCTTTGGTGTGCCCCCATGGGGATTCCCAGGATCCTGAGACGAAACTCACGCTCAAGTAAGCCCAGGCTGGGTACTGCTAACAGGCGCCCACGTCTAGTAACAACTTTCTAACTAACTGAACCCCCGGGACGTGTGCACTTATGGGGGACCTAGTAAGGCCTACCACCAGAACAGAGAAGCGTATGCTACACACACACAACAACCAAGGCAGACCCCCCTACCAGGCAGGAAAACAAAAAGAAAAAGAAAACCCCACAAGTGGGCAGCATACCCAGGCGGAACAGAGCTGGCCGCTATGAGAGGTGAAAACTAGCTGCGCAGCACCCTGCACCCCTACCAGTGCAAACTGCCTCTTACCCCTAAGGTGACTAAGGATGCCAGAATACCGCAGCACACAGAGGGCGGCCGAAAGCCGAGCAGCAAACGACCATGCAGAGGCAGAACCCAAGGAACTTTTGGAAGGAAGCTCCAGGGACAGTACTTACTGGGCACCTAAGGAAGGGAACCCTAGGCGCATGCAGCCTAAGTATTGAAGAATTACTCCTGGCTCACACACCCACAATAAGACAGCCACCACACCACACAGGCACAGAGCTGAGAACCATTGTTAAGAGCCAGAGCATACGACTTCCGCCTAGCTCATCAGCCTTAGAACTGAGGTCATGGGGTAGCCGGCACGAGGGGTCTGGGACTCCCCCTTCCCCCTCCCGGGGAGGTGAGCGCTGCGCAGATGGCAGTGTGGCGACATGAAGTCATACTTGTTTGCTCGTTTTTGTTTGGGGAGTTCTGTCCACTAGTTCGGCTCTCAGTAGCAATTTCTTAACCAGAATAGGGGGTTTGTTTTGGGATGCTTATCTTTCTGGGTGCCTGACCCTGGTCGATGGCAAACGTAGAATGCTTCCAACCACACGGGGGTTTCTATAGGCCATTGCTCCTCGTGCCTCTCTGAGGGGGCCAGGTTCTGGCTCTTGGTCCCCAGCAGGCCTAAGAGCTCCATTCACACTGACTGATGTCAAAGTCTAATATTAGCAATATCAGCCTGGATAGCTCCAGGGAACTGATGGGGCTCCCCACAGAAAGCCCTACATATCACTCAATAATGTATGAGAACAAAAGTACATAAGGCGAGTGATATCAAAGTTATCTGATTTACCAAGCATTCCATTGAGAGACAAATGACCTCTAGGAACAATAGGAAATGATGAGATATATGATCATCCTAAAAATCTGGACATTCTACAAAGAGTTGCATGACTAAGTGGGACAATGCAGTTCAGACAGATAAAAAGCACTAAATGTAATAAAATGGAAATTCCTGGATGAGCCCCGGTGGCTCCCTGAAGCTATTTCGCTTAAATGGCATCTAACTTTTAGATTGCAATGGCTGTGGAGTTTAGTTTGGTCTACGGGAACCAGAGCCAGAAACTGGTCCCCTCACTGAGGTGCAGGAAGAAGATGGCACTCTGCCACGTCACTGCAGAAGGCACCCTGAAAGTTAACGAACCAATACAGACCCAATAATACTAAGTTCAAATGAGTCCGAAGCCTCACAACCTGCCAAATGACCTCCCCAACAATGTAAACAAATGATAGAATCTCTCAAAATAAAGAGTGTGCTTATTTGTCCCACCCCCTCCCACTCGAGGGGGATGGGCTGGGGCTCACACTGTGTACTGGCTCAAGCCCTCAGTTTCTCCACTGATGCAGCTTATGTCAGATGTGTGAGGTAGGGTTCCAGGGTTGTCAGTAAGCTGTGGCTGGCTCCAGTGCTTTTCAACTAAGAGTTTCTTTGGATTTACCTCCTGTGTGATTTTGTTTGGTACACCATGGTATAGCATGGGCCTGGCCTTTTAGAGTGCTTAGAGCTGCATGTGCTCAGCATTACCTTCTATCTTTAATATTCTCATGTTCCTCAAGTTCCCTGTCCCTGGTCTCAGCATGAGGTGGAAGAAGAACTGTGCCAATGCTGGTATTCAATAGGACTTTTTGGAGACCCGAACTAGGGCCTCACCAATAGAAGATAGGACAGCTAGGCAGGTAGCTGCCTCAACAACAAAGGTTCTAGTCCGAGTAGGATTAAATCTAACACATGCATCCACAGAGTCTACAAGGTGTTTGTGTATATGCAAATCTTTAGGGCGGGTATGGTCATTATGGCAGACATAAAAATATTTAGACCATATAGCAGGGCCAAACACATCATGATACTTAGCAGCTGTTGTAGGAAATGTGCATGCTCTTGATGGCAAGAACATTACTGTGGATATCTCTGAAGGAGGGGGGCAAAAGATTGAGTCACACCAGATGATGAGGTAGTCACCATTGAGGACTTGGAGGTCGACCTTGCTAAGGAAGAGGCTGGGAAAAGGAGATGGATTAAAATAGGTAGCCAAAGAAAAAGCCTGGTCAGGGCCCACTATAGCAAGAGAGGTGCATGGGAAATAGGCTTACAGGTTCCAGAAGATGAGAGGAAATGTCAGCACTGTGTAAAAATGCTCGACAGACCACTGGAACATTATCCAACACAGTGTACAGTTACAAACCCAATAAGATTTCGACTTCGATTCAACAGAGCATTAGTTGTTGTTAAACACATGGGGCATAATCTTACTGAAGCAAACATAGGAGTTGTAAATACTCGTACTCCTGCTTGATGGAGTTCTGGGAGTTCTTCTACTCCCCAAGCCCAGCCCGAGGCCAGGCTCGACTTGTGAGAGTTTGGTCCACCAGGCTGTTGCTTGGAGTGGCCCGCAGGGCCACTTACCCACCACAGCCCGGCTGATCTGGAACTTCTCTTAGAAAACAGTCCAGTTTCCTCTTGAAGATGTCCACGGTTGTTCCGGCAATGTTTCTTATAGTTCCTGGGAGGACGTTGAACAACCGCGGACCTCTGATGTTTATTTATTTACTCCACCTAAGTAAAACAGAAACAAGTAACACTTATTGGGCCAGATGGAGCCTTAGAGCCCATGCAAGAATAAAAAAAAAAAAGTATATATATAGCTAGAGCTATGGAGCTCGAGCTTCCATCACAATCTGACTCGGTACAATGTAAAAAAATGCTGAATTGGACTTTGCTGCCATGCACCCCCACCCACCACAGAGCCCAAAGGGGAGGGGAGGCAAAAGCACATGATCAATGTCAAGGGCAACAGGGACAGTATTCATGGATCACCATTTAAGGGTTTGAATAGTAGTCCAGGAACCAATATGGATACCAACCCTGCAATGCCCACTTCACTCAGTGTCAAAATAGGAGAGCTAATTAGATGAGCTTATCTGATCACGTGGGCCACTCTGAACCTCCCATTTTTCCTGCCCCAACTAAAGGAACATGTTAGCCCTCAGGGGCCATAACCACTGGGTAGGCCCAACAACCAGATGAAGGAACAATGGGGAATGCCCAGGTTCCATTCACAGTGAGCACATGGGGGTGTATTTCACTTGCGCACCATCACAGCAGGCAAAAGGAACCAGGAGCCATCCCCACCTACCCGAGGGCAGTGCACACAATCTCCTAACTATGTCAAAGAACCACTCGCTAGGCAACCCTTTTAACATAGCCCATGTCACCTTAATTAAGTCCATGATGTGAATACTTTGTCCAGTTTCTGATGTTTTCAGGGGGATAAATTCATTACATATTGTGAACTTATGTCCCTTTCATCATATTTATATAATTTAACCTGACATGATGAATATATACTAGAAATGTGAAATATATAAGCTAGAAGGAATACTAACTTTAAAAGTTTAATTATCACTAGATTTTCAGCATTTTTCTGAATTGTAAATTGACCGTTTTCTTCACAACTCTCCTAAATTATTGAATTTGTCACATTAATACATTATGCATTTGAGTAAAATGTCAGGAATATGTAAAAGAAACATATAATTTACAATAAAATCTTTATATTTCAGAACAGTCAACAGGGTATTTGTATAGAGCAGAAAGCAATAACATCCACAAAACATACTCATGTTGCTTGTCAAGGGACGCTGCTACAATGTTGCGTGTCAAGGGACACTGCTACAATGTTGCATGTCAAGGGACACTGCTACAATGTTGCGTATCAAGGGACACTGCTACAATGTTGCGTGTCAAGGGACACTGCTACAATGTTGCGTGTCAAGGGACGCTGCTACAATGTTGCGTGTCAAGGGACACTGCTACAATGTTGCGTGTCAAGGGACACTGCTACAATGTTGCGTGTCAAGGGACACTGCTACAATGTTGCATGTCAAGGGACACTGCTACAAAGTTGCATGTCAAGAGACAGTGCTACAATGAAATGGAGATATGACAACACAGAAGGGCTGGACAACACAAAGAAAATTAAATAAATCAGGTAGCCATCGTATGTGTACACTGTATCCCTGACACTACCTGTGTTGGGAAGCCTTTGCATAATCTTGGACAACTGTGTTGGCTCCCACGGATCGCCTGATACACTTGGCAACATCCGTGCTGGAAGCCATGGTTCATCTATACCTTCTTTGCAATTTGTTATGACTGCATATCATACTTTTATTCATTATACCTTTGTGCATTTCTTCCTTACTAAAACTTGCAGTAAATTCTTAGTTTTCCTGGTAACCAACTTTCTGGTGCTACTACAAATACAACGACAATTTATAACTATTCAAATTAATATGCAGCACTGCATTGCTATCTTTATATTATCATAACAATCATCTGTACAGTGTTTGATATGTATAAAAAAAATTGAGAAAGGAGAAAACTATATTAGAATTCGACAATACTGTATATATAATTGGGGAATTACAGTGTGTCAATAAAATCACAGAGTTGATTTTAGACTACATCAATGTAGTACCTGCTGATCAGTAAATAATTAAAGCAATTTCACTTTCATCTTTTACTTTAATATGTAAAATGTAGTTTAGTCGCATAGGACCTTTACTGAACCTCTTGCTCAATGTGATGCATTCATCTATGTTAATAAAATGAAATTGTATCCACAGGTAAATAGCTAAAGTGTACTATTTTCTCTTACTTTGCAAACTTCCACCATTTTGATTGACTATGAAATACTGTACATAAAAAATGTTGTGATAAGTGAGTGATAGCATGATGTTACTTTGTATGGTTAGGACAAGCCATCAACTTTATTAGCTTGCCATAGATCAGTTTTCTAAAAGTTCACAAGTATACACTGGAGCATACAGTCTTGACAAAGCTTACCACATTGCAAAAAAAAAAGTGTTAATTGTCAATGAGAGTCAATATACTCCAGTCACAAATTAAATGGCAGAAAAATAAATATTTGTAAATTACATTTATAAATGTGATTAAAGAGAAATGCCACAAATGAATTGGTGATGTTTTCAACTTCAAAACTACTGCATAACAAAAAAAATACCATATTAGCAGTTATTTTTGCCATCAAATATAAAAGCACTGCCTGGTACAGAAGTTTTAACTTTAATGACTTCTTTACACATTTTGAGCTTGGTAACACCTTAAAATGCACTATGTATGAACAAAGATTAAGTATGAATTCTTTAACTATGACATTCAGTACAGTACTGTATATTGAAATATAAAAACCTGTAAATATTTCAATAACATATTGGGATTCAAAATATATTTTGGAAAATAGAGCAGTTTGATATAATTCCAGACTAAGCATCAAATATCTGCAGCAGCAGCATTATTTGTGTCACTAAAGATGCTACAACTTGCCATCATATAACTGCTGGCTAGTCATTGTTCATATACTGGGAAACAGGGCTATTATTTTACACAACACTCATAACACTACATCTTTATAAGTTCATGTCCTGGATTTTTATTTTCTTTGACATTAGGTATTACATACAGTTACTTCCATACATCGAAGTACAACTAGTCCAACTGATCACAACTGGTGACCCAGGACAATTAACTGTCCATGTATGAGATCTAATGCACAAGTTCCCATTTTCCCCCCTAGCAAAACACTGAACCACACTATGAGATGAGAAACGTGGTAAGGTAAGACAAACATGGGAATAGCCTACATGTAGGCATGCCAAGAAGAGTAATATTGTAATAAATAAGAATATGAAGGTTTTTCATCTAAATGAGTGACATGTCTTTGAACATTAAAGATGAACACCAAAGTTGTAATTCCTGTAATGCGTAGACTTGCAGTCATTAGAGAGCACGACACATGTAAGCACAGTAGCATAATAGTACAGAAGATGCAATATTTGGCACACATATAACAACCAGTAGACGTTTTGTGCACACATGTATATTTGAAGCTATTCAACATATAATGCAGTATGATGAAATTACTTTAAAGATACTGTACTTACCTTCAGAAAATGCAATGAAATATGAACTCTGTCAATAAAGTGCATATTTACTTGAAACGAAATAGATTCTTGTTCTTCTGGCAATATATAGAACAATAATTTGGAGAGCTAATGACAGTATGAATACCGTGTAAATACTTAAAAGGTCTTCAATTTATATTTATAAAGATAACAATGTTTTATTTAATGATTTTTTGTTTGAAGCTGATACTGCACATTTCTTGTTTACTTCTTATACAAACAGATGCACTTTTAATGTGATTGCTTTATCATTTGTGAAGTCAAAGAATTACCAATTTATGTTTACTGTAATATAAATGCAAAAATCAGGACTAGATATGAAAAAAGTCTGAAAATCCTCAGCAAAATGAACTGCACTTTACATGAGGTATTTTTAGAAGGCTTATCCAAAATATAATTTAACACAAATTACATTAATGTAGACATTGCCATGCCATGGTATCTTTGCCAAGCCAGATACAGAATGATTTTAGGGACAAATGTAGTAGTAACTTTGAGCTTATATATGCTACAATGATATTTGCACCTCTGCATACATGAAAATACAGCAATTAAATTATAACAAATATTTCAAAAACATGGAAGCCTTTACAGTTTACCCCACAACTTTAAAATTTTATTACAGTACTGTATTACTAGGGCAATCATGATTTCCTGTGGGCTTGCAAGACAAGTGTCAGTTACACCATAGTGTCTTAATACTTGTCTGATAATTTGACAATTTAACCCATGGCTAACAAAGCTTTTGAAGAATAAATATCACAATTTCCATTGAATAACACAAAATACATTTTCTTTTATTTTTAAATGCAGAGTACACAGTTTTAACACAATAACTCTGAATCATTCACGATATTCAAATAATTTAATTTACAATGCAATAACTTTTACGGGAACATCCATCATAACTAGGTCATTTTATTAGTCGTACTGTATAAAACTTGGTGTTACCTGCAAGAAAACAAATGACAATCAAATTGAAGTATAAATTTATAAAGGGAAAGTATGATGTACATGTGTAAGCCTGCAAAGAAGAGAGATCTGAGAACAAATTATGAATATGGATAATTTGCCCATTTAAGGGAAATGTGAAAATGCTTCTTAAATGATACCCTTTTTCAACAATAGCCAGTGAGGATCACTTTGTTTCTTTACTTTATATATCTAAACTCAGGAAGTATATAGTTAGTTTTCATGAATGATCATGAAACATATCCATATTCATTTAGTTATTCACAAAATAAAAAAAAAGATTTGTAAACATTTCATCTCACCAGGTAAAGCTGAAAAACAGAGCCCACTATTTTGCTTTGGAATGTATGAACAGAATTAGAGTTGAGAAGTCATAGGAAAAAATTGCATTTTGATGCATTGGCGACTCTAGATTGAACTGGAGTGTTTTATTCTGTGTGGTCACATCAGGTACATGCTTCAGAACCACTCAAATATCCACTTGTTCTGATACACAAAGGCAATCTTATCAGGAATTTATAGCCTTCTAAGGTTTATTAATTACATTCCTAACACCAATGCATTCAAGTGCTCCCTTAGAGCAGGACCAGAGGAATTAATTTATGTAAATCTCATTTGAAAACTATAAACACTAAATAGTTCCAATAACAGAAAATGCAGTTGACTAGCTATGCAAATCTGCAGCAGATTAAGATGAGACAATAGCAGCAAATGATTTTTGTCTGGTGTTCAAGCTCATCTTCATTTAATAAAAAATTACAGCTGCGTCTTGTGTTGAACTTGTTATACGTAGGTCCAGCCTTTTGCTATTTGTACAAAACTTTATCAGCAACTCAAGAGACAGTCCATTTGTTCAGAGCAGAAAAAATATAAATTTTGTTAAAACAACTTGTGCATGAAGAAGCATTTCGTCTGGCTAATAATGGTTTCATGCACAATTCAAAGTTGTAAACTAACACAATTATCTTTGATGTAATTCTGATATTTCTGCTTATGTGATACACTTTCTACTCTGAACTCTCTTGTCAGGTGGCACGGGGTGGCATAGAAGGGCGTGGCGCAGCAGCAGGGGAGGGAAAAGTGGCGGTAGCGCCAGCCGGAACGCTGGGGAAACCAGTAGGAGATGTTGGAAAGGTGGGGGATGTGGGTGTCGTTGGGGACATCGTGGCAGATTTTGTCTTCTTCTCTTTCACAGCCGGAGGAACATTTTCATAGATTTGCTTTGGAAGTTCATCAGGAGGCCTACGAGAAACAAAATAAATACCATAATAGATTGAAGAAATTATAATGAAGTACCATGCAACACTATTTTATACAATAACATCTTATTTTGACAATAGGTATTTTGGGGCTAAATATATTCCACTACAAGTTATCTGAAAATAAATTTGTTCAGAATAAGCTATTGTTAGGTACAATATAACATAACTAACACTAAAAAACACGCGATAAATTGGTAATCATAAATGCCTACAATTCACCAGCATGCAACACATGGACATAGGAGTAGCTGGACAACAAGCAAAAGAGCCTCATAACAATCATGAGACAAATTATATTAAGAGCAGATAAAGATAAATCATGACTGCTGGTAGTTCATGGCTTCAACTTGAAATCCATAGATTGGGAGACTTATGAACCAAGAATGGAGAACTTTTGGAAGGGTAGATTCATATACCTCATCCTGGAGACATTCATGTATCAACTTGTTAAACAAGCTTCGAGGATGAGGGAAGAGGATGTTCCTTCAGTGCTGGATTTTATATTCACCAGGAAAGAAGGAAAGAGATTTGACATTCAGTACCTTTTCCCCTCGGGCAAAAGTGACCTTCCTTTTGGAAATAAAGAATGCAATGCATTAGAATCTAAAAGAGAATGAGGAAAATGATGCAGTTGAAAAACCTGATTTCAGGAGAAGACACTATGGGGAATTTAAAAAGTTTTTTAATGAATTTGATTGGGAAGACTTTCTGTTAAGAAAGTAAATGAGATATATGTCTAATTTTGTGAAATATATGAAAAAGGTACAAAAATTTTTTTATGCAAAAACAGAGATGCAGAACTAGGAAACAGGATTGGTTCAACAGAAATTGTGACAGGGCCAAAGACTAAGACATAAAAATGGAATAAATTTAGGAAGAGGCCAAACCTTCAAACACACCAGCAAATACAAAGAAGCAAGAAACAACTACACAGCAGTGCAACCCATCCTCTTAAAAATTACATCGCTTTTCGCTCGTATGCGCTACAGGCAAAAAACCAGCGTTGAATGTAATGAAACGCCATTTTCTGGGTGAGCCCCGGAGGCTCCCTGGAGCTTATCGGGCTAATGTATGTTATGTTAGACCGGGACATTAGCTAAGGAGTTCAGACCTACCAGGGACCAGCGCCAGAACCTGGCCCCTTCAGAGAGGTTTCAGGGAGCAATGGCCCTGGAAAACCCCATATGGTTGGGGGTTTTCCTTATCTGCCATCGACCGGGGTTAGGCACCCAGAAAGGTAGGCGTAACAAAACAAACCCCACATGGTAAGAAACTACAACAAAAACCGAACAGAGAGGTAGAAAACTCCCTACAATCCCAAGGAAACAAGCAAACATCACACTTTACTGCCGCGCCGATCGTCAGCGCAGCCCTCCCCACCCCGGGGGGGAGGGGGAGCCCCGGACCTACCGCGCCGGCTGCCAAGCTCCAGTTCGGAAGCTAAGCTTCAACCAACGCGAAAAAACCGCCGACCGGTGGGAGGGAGGGTTTCCAGGGAGCCTCCGGGGCTCACCCAGAAAATGGCGTTTCATTACAATCAACGCTGGTTTTCTGTGGGGAGCCCCTACGGCTCCCTGGAGCTTCATACCCAAAGAGAAGGAAAAGAAAGGGCTAACCCGGGAGGCGGCCGCCACAAACTCTGCAACGCAAAGCCAAGACAACCGGTCGCAAACCTGCGACCCAAGGCAACAAGAACGCCCAAGAACAGACGCACACATGGATGGGCGGCCAAAAACCTGTGCGACCCACAAATCCCTGCGCCCGAAACGAGCCCGAGACGTCACCAACACAGCAGCAAATGCTGCAAACGTCTGAACAGCACGGGCGCAAAGACAGACCGCAGGAAGAAGGAAAACACTGCGGACGACCTGGGAGACCCGAGCCCTGAAAACAGGGAACGAAGGAACCGGATCAACCACAGCGCATCCCCAGGCACGGTACGCCGGCAACAGCAAAAAGCACAACCGGACAACACAGGACGCACCCCCCGGCCAAACCAAACAAGTACCAATACCCCAAGAACCCCTCCGGAAAGCAGCCGTCTCGACCGTCGCCAGGACAGAGAAAGGCTGCACACCAATAAAGCTACCACCAGTACCAAAGAGGAGGAAACTGAAACCGAAGGGGCTACCACAAACTGAGGGGAAGATAAGAAGGCACCCTGAACAAGGACCAGGATGGCTCAGGCGACTCATGAGCAGGCCGGAGGGGAAACAAAACGCGAGAAAACGTAATAAACGTCATACTGTCCCCAAGACGAAGCTCGCAGGTGGGACACCGTCAACAAAGCCACCTGAACACCATAGAGATGGTGATACCTGCGTCAAAATACCAGACGCGAAGAGCCAAAGAGAAGGCCGAACCAGTCACGGACAGGACCGATTCGGCCTGCTGAAAGCGGCGAAGCCTCAGGAAAAACGCCCCGGGTACGGACACCTATCAAGCAGCGTCTGAAAAGAAGGCCGGGCCGGCCACCATGGAACCATAAGGACTGTTCTCGTGGGAATGGGCTGCAACCGAGCCAGAACCCGAAGCAACAGCTGGACCGGGAGAAGAGGGACAGGTACCCCCCACCTCGACCAGGCCTGCCGAAAGCCTCCACCGTGAAGTCCTCGCAGGTGGGAAGGGCGCCACAAAACGGGCGACGCCTAGACCACGCCGACCCGAAGACGTCCATGGCCAGGAGTCCATAAGCCCGACAGAGCCAACAAAACGAATCGGCGACGACTGGCCAACCCACGAAGAGGAATGAACCGAGACAGCTGTCCACCAGGACGCAGGACACACCCCGGACACGAACCACACGGTTAACCAAACCCCTGTGGTTCCAGCAAGAACCACCAGAGAACAGTCCAAACAGAGCTGAATGGTAGAGTACCTAGTGACCCAAACCCTCCGAAGCGCAAACCAGACAGCCATGAACACCTGAACCGGGCTGTGAGCCCGACGGACAGACAGACTCCATCAACCTCGGCCGACCTGGTGAGCACTGGTCACAAAGCCCCAGCCGAGAGACGACCCGTCCGTGAACACATCGAGCGAAGGCTCGGGGAGGTGCCAAGGCACGGAACCCCGAAAACCCCAAAGAGGAAGCTGGTGACGCAGCACCAACACCAGATCCCAAGAGGAACCCAAGGACTGCAAGAGGCAGAAGGGGAGTCACCGTAGGAACCAACCGACGCCGGAGCCAAACCCGACACCGCGGGCAGACAAGCACGCCGAAGTGCAAACTCCCGCACAACCGCCCAAGCAACCGCTGAGCAACCCGGGACCCCCTCCTGAACAGCCAAAGGCAGGACCACAGCCGCAGTAACACTTCTGGAGGGAAGACAATGAGGGGCCCAAGAGCCTGAAACAAGGCCCAGGTTCGAACCCGGGACGGAAACAGAAGGTAAAACCTCCAGATCACCAGGAAACCAAACCCAGCGATCTGGAAAGAACCATCCCCTGGCGAGCAGACAAGCGGACTGACTGGGAGCCCACTCCAGCCAGTCGTCGAGGTAGGCCAGACACCGAATCTCAGACGCAGACAGGGCACTAAGATCCGGGACAGATGCAAAGAGTATATAAAGTGCCCTTTACAAAATAGGGAAGGCAGCAAACCTGAAGCCCACCACCAAAGCATTATCAATCATATTAAGACATATTATGACATATGACAATCATTATATGACAATATGACAATTATAATCAAAGCATGACAGAGTGCTGGGAAGACGGGACACCACGAGAGTAGCTCTCATCCTGTAACTACACTTAGGTAAGTACACATAGGTAATTACCAACTGGAGAAAAACTGGAGAGGAACGTGCCAAGAAGTGACCTGGAGGTCCAGGTCCACCATCCATGCACCCGGCCCTAACAGAATCCGAACAGGAGACAACAGTCCTCCGAGGAGGGCAGAGGATCCAGGGCGCAGACTGAAGTAGTCCAGAAGAACTGCAGACTGGCTCATGACTGCAAAGAGCAGACGGGAAAAGCTCATGACTGCAAAGAGCAGACGGGAAGCCCAGAAGGATGGGGCGGATCGACCACGCCCCATGCACCCACGAAGAGGAAATGACGAAGCGCAGGGGAAGAAGCCCACCCCGCCAGCTCTGAACCCCCCCCAAGGGGGAGAAGCCGTCCTCCGTCGCCAGCAGAGGCTGGAAGACAACCCAAAGCGCCCACCAACAGCGGGACCAAGCGAGAGGCAACAGAGCAAGCTGCTCCCCCTGCGCCCAGTCAACAGAGAAGGGAACAGAACCCCTTCCGAAAGAAAAAGTACACTACCGAAGTCATGAGGAGAGACTACGGGAATGAAACCACACTTCGCTGGAAGATGAAGTGAGGGGAGACCTGATCACCACATTCAAGATACCCAAGGGAATCGACAGGGTTGATAAGGACAGGCTATGTAACACAAGGGGCACAACTAGTGCATGGAAACTGAGTACCCAAAGGAGCCACAGATCACCTGATTTTTTTTTTTTCCCTGTGTACAGGAATCGTAGCAGACGGGTGGAAAGCAGGCTAACATAGTTCCAATCTGACCCCATACAATGTCACATGTAGACATGACAGGCCCAAGAGGCAGCAGGAACCCCCTCAATTATAGACCTGTATCATTGACAAGTGTAATAGTGAAAGTATTGGAAAAACTAATCAAAACTAAATGGGTAGAACACCTAGAGAGAAATGATATAATATCAGACAGACAGTATGGTTTTCGATCTGGAAGATCCTGTGTATCGAATTTACTCAGTTTCTATGATCGAGCCACAGAGATATTACAGGAAAGAGATGGTTGGGTTGACTGCATCTATCTGGACCTAAAAAACCAGCGTTGAATGTAATGAAACGCCATTTTCTGGGTGAGCCCCGGAGGCTCCCTGGAGCTTATCGGGCTAATGTATGTTATGTTAGACCGGGACATTAGCTAAGGAGTTCAGACCTACCAGGGACCAGCGCCAGAACCTGGCCCCTTCAGAGAGGTTTCAG